TAAACTCGTTACCTCATTAATTAATTATCATTATAAAACTATTACTATAATTAATATAATTAATAATAGTAGTCAGAATCGTAATTTTAATTTTTATTCCAAAAATAGTTCACATTAACCATTATTTATGTTTCATTGTTATGATAATAATAAGAATAATAATAATATTATTATTATTACTAATGTTTATAATAATAACCATAACGATAATAATCAAATAATGATAATAATAATCAATATTATTAATATTACAATGATTTATCAACAACAGAAGACAGACAGACCTTGAAGATGCTGCTGTATAAACTGATGGATAGCTCTACTCTGCAGCGACCACAACAGCCACAACAACAACTAAAAAATGGCGGACTCCACCACCACCACCATCATCATTCTCAACAACAACATCGTCAACAAAATTCCGAAAGAGTTGCCAACTTGTTGATAGCCGTATCCTACATCTGGCCTGCTGGCTTGAAAGATGAACGTAAACCACCACCACCACCACCACCATCTGCATCATCGTTGACGTCATCTTCTACGTCATCACCACTCAGACTGGTGATGATGTATTACTCATATAAGTACTTGCTCACTGGTGATTATGATGAGGATGGTGGTAGCAGCGATGAGGTGAAGAAAGGTGGTCAGAAATTGAAGGTTGGTTGATTGATTCATTCATTTGTACATTTGTACGTTCATTCATTAATTCATTCATTCATTCATACATTCATTCATTCATTCATTCATCCATACATTCATTCATTCATTCTTCCATCCACAAATCGGATCTTTCAACCACCCATCCACCCACCAGCAGGTGATTGACCGATTGAAAAAGATGAGTGATTGGTGCGGCGATGAGTTATTTCAATCAGGTGAGAATAGTCACCAACAGCTGCCACTCAAACGTCAACCACCCCCACCACAGCATCTACTATACAAGGTTCTGGAAGATGTTAAGAAGATCATCAATGATGGTTCTGTTCACATATCTGGTTGGTTGGTTGGCTGGTTGGTTGGTTGGTTGGTTGGTTGGTTGGTTAATTGATTGGTCGACTGGTTGGTTGATTGTTTGGTCGACTGGTTGGTTGGTGGGTTGGTTGATTTGTTAGTTTTGTTAATGTGATTTGGTTGGTTGGTTGATTGTTTGGTTGGTTTGTTGGCCAGCTATGAATAATTATGATCTAAATTAGGACATAATTATAAACTATAATTATGGATTATAATTGTAAAGATGTATTTTTAAAAATGAACGCAGGCCTGGCAACTGGGATGTTCATAAAGGATGTCCTGCCAGAAAATCTTCTGCTGATCGAGAACAGTTTGCATGGGCTGGTGCAAGAGGATAGTGGTCAGTTAGTCGATTGATTGATTGATTGATTGATTGATTGATTGATTGATTGATTGATTGATTGATTGATCGATCGATCGATCGATCGATCGATCGATTGATTGATTTATTTATTTATTTATTTATTTATTTATTTATTTATTTGATTGTATGATTTAATTAATTGATTAATTAATTAGTTAAATTATTGTTCTAATAATCTGTTAATTTAATGATTTTTTGATTGTGTGATTGAATGTTTGATTGATTGCATGGTACGATTGTTCGTATAATTGATAATCGATGTATTAACATTAACTAACTAAATAAATAGATAGAATTATGAATGAATGAATTTTACATTATTAAAATATATTCTACTTTTCAATCACCAGTTCCTCTGAAAATCAAAGAGGCCGCAGTCAGGTCAGCAATACGAATCCTCCAAGCCAAGCAACCCGTTACTACAACCACCACGACTGCTTCTGCTGTAGCTACTGCAGCCGCGACTGTTACGTCTGCTACATCTATGGCTTACTGCAGTAATGTCTCAGTGATCTCAACTCAACTGTCACTAGCTACAACATCATCGTCGTCGTCGTCATCATCTTCGTCGTTGTCGTCGTCATCACTGCCTACAGGTGTAAGAACTTTTGTAAGGTCGGTTGATAGGAACTTGCTTGACAGGGAGAGCTGTGATATGTTTTCTCTGCTTATGGACTTGTAAACTGCAAATAAATAACAACTGAACAGCGTCACGCGACTGTTGTACGTCATGCGCGTGTGTCATATTTGACGTGTTACAAACATTGCTTTTGTCTTCATTTTGCGTCATTAATATTTCTATGAGTTATATATTTTTCAGTTGTTTGAAGTTAATTTGTTTTTTCCTGCGTCACTAAGTTAATTAATTTAGTGAATTTAATTAGACGATGAAGCCATTCAGTGACACGTCTGTATTATTTTCCAGTTTTAATTAATTAATTAATTTATTCATTCATTTACTTACATATTCGTTTGTTTATTTAGTGATTAGGTAGGTTAGGTAGGTAGGTTAGGTAGGTAGGTAGATAAATAGATAGATAGATAGATAGAAAGATAGATAGATAGATAGATAGATAGATAGATAGATAGATAGATAGATAGATAGATAGATAGATAGATAGATAGATAGATAGATAGATAGATAGATATAGAACTTTTTTTGTTATAATTAACCCTAATTAACCCCCTTATTCATTTTTACAGAAATGAAGTCGTATTTTTGTTTTCCTACTTTTTGTTTCAATGGTATTTCTTTGTACAATATATCATAAATATTACAATATTAATAACATTAAAACAAATCATTATTATTATTATTCTTATTATTTTATTATTATTATTGAAAAGATTTAACTGTATTGCTACTCAAAAAGTTGTATGATTTGTATATTTCGTATCTTGTATATATAGGCATAGGAATCTTAACTCTCCATAGCATTGTTTCATGGATGTGTGTATGGACATGTAGGATGACGTTCAGCTATAAATAAACAGACGTCGGTACCTTAAAAAACCTTAGGCTGATGAACAAGTCTTTGCGACGTGAGAGTTTAACTGTATGTGAACTTGTGAAGCCAAGTAAGAAACGATGCGTTGTCAGAACTGCATAATAAAAACCAAAAAACTACATTTTCAAGTTGCTACTACAATAAAATACATTTTAGAGCTTTATTAAAGATTATTTTTTGTGATAGCCGTGCTTCTAATCGCAAATTATACTCTTAGCGACCCTAGACATGCATTTGTGACTAAGTAAATAAGTTCGTCTTTGAAATGAAAACGGAATCAAAAAAAAAATTGATAAACTATGTAATATGTGAAGACAGCAGCCACAATAAATTGTTTCATTAGTTTCCGATTGTTTACTATAAACAACAAACTATACTTAACAATGTTTTATTATCGTGATGAGAAGACATATCACCTTCAGTCGATTGTCTAATCTAATCTCATTTGGAATTAATTTTTTAAATCGGTGACAAATCCGACCCTTAAATGATAAAGATCTTATAAACTCTTCCAAGATTCGGAAGAATTAACAACACACAAGCATGTATATAAATACGTGCAAAAGCGCTTCCCACTTGAAGCATGTGATAGGTTGGGATCTTTTTGTCGTATTCAAACTACATAATCTGCTATAATAATTAAAAAAAATTCCAAGACAGTGATAAGAAGGTTTTAGTAAAATGTTTGTAGGTATAATAAACATAAATGGTAAATGTTACATCATATAATTTATATATCAAAATTTAGCTTAGTCATAATATAGTATATATGAATAACAAGTTATTAATCATGGTTGCTTGAGAAAATGTAATTAAAATGAGTTTTAGGTTAATGTTCTTCGTGATGTCATTCAGTTGATCGTCTGCATCCTAACTCCAGTCCAATCGGTGTTGTCCTTGGCTACATGCGCGATCAAGGATTTATTTCAATTGAAGGTTTCGGGGTTTAAGTTTAAATAAGTAAACTTCTAAAATATTATTAGCCCTATGATTAATAAATTAAATTTTTTTAAACGTTTTTTACTACAAAACTTTTGCAACATTTTAAAATTATAAAATCTAAGAATTCAGACATACGAACCAGAATTAAAAATGATAAACTGTTTTGTTATAGGGCCATATAAGTTGTTGATGAATGAGATCGTCTTCTTGTAGGCTCCTTGCTGCCACACAAAAATCCACTTGCCTCTTTGGTTCAAACCAGAAACATCCAAGTTGACACTGCTCAAATAAGGAAGAGCCGGGTCAATATGAGTCCATGGATCATCGCATGTACGACCCACGACAATTGTACCGTTTGGGGTGGTCTGAAAAGTTTTTATAGCTTTTTTCATCTCAAAATAGAAAATTAGGCAAAATGTAAATGATCAAAATAAACAATTAATGTTGCTCGGAAGTCCTCAAACATTTGTGAAAGGCTGCGATTATTACTATAATCATAATGATAGCAAGTACGAAATATTTCTTTATATTCCTGTGCACAAACATTAGCTTCAATAATTAAAAAAAACTATCGAAATGAATTAAAAATTGTTTTGTGTTAAAAGCGTCAGTATAGTTAATTTTTTTTATAAACTATAAAAATAATGTTAATAACAACAACAATAACGATGTTAATAACAATTCATTGATGAAACATTTACCTTCAAATAATCGACCAGTTTTCCAGCATTGATTTGATCTTTCCAAACATCAAAAACCTGAAAATCATAGGGCAAATGATCATGGACGTTTAATCTGTACACGTTCACACCTCTATTGTCTACCGGCGTGCAACCATATTCAGGTAAATTTGGTGTATCCAAATAACCCCATGAAATTACATTCAAGTAAACCGGCTCTATCAAAATTTTCATTTTCGCCAATTATATTTTAAATTTAAGAATTTTTTCTATTTCAGCCCTTACTGGTGGCCAGGTAGATGAAGCAGTTCTGTTCAACATTCTTGTAGAGGCTATCAGGAACGTCGTTGATTTGATAGCAGGAGACATCAAACGCATTGAAACTCGTGGAGTTTGTAACATTGACCTGAAATGCGAAACATGGTTCAGTGGCTAGTTGACATGCGACGCTGCACAGTTTAATGTATTTCCTTCTTTTGGTCATTTTCATCGAAACATTATTATTGTTGAAAATTAAAGTTTTGTTCACTGAGTTGGAGCACAGAGGCACAATGTCCCATGCCAACTTGTTGTACAACCTACCTGATTGGCACAACAAACAGACCGACACAAAGATAATGAAAAGTAATATTAAAATGTACGATTTGAACATCTTGAATTCGATTCCAAAAGTGTAGTTTCGTTTATGTTTTACTTTATTAATGTTTCAATTTAATATTTGTTTCGTTTTAATAAATAATTTTCTAGATTTGCAAAAATTTTTCAGAAATTCAAACGCCACAAAACAGTCATGTAATACCTATTTCACGTAGCCAAACTTGCATATGAATTTCTCTGTTTTTTTTTTAATTGCGGTGCACTCAGTAATGGTTTGCATTGTTTGCTAAATATTTAGATGCAGTGTCTGTCTATTTAAATTAAATCACAAAGTATTCAGTTGATTGCATGAATGGAAGAATTAAAAAGAAAGGAATAATTAATGATGAAACGATTAAATAGTTTTATGCTCTGTTTATATTGTTTGTTTTAATTACTTCTTACAATGCAATTTTACGGAGCGCTGTTTAAATTTTTTTTTATTAGCCTGTAATCTTTCTATTCATGGGTGGATTCATCGGAGTTTTGACGTTAATTAAAATGGATATATATCCATATTATATATACATTATTCCATATTATATATTCATTATTCCATATTTATATTCATTATTATTCTCAATAAAAAAAGAAATTAATTGAGAAAAAAAGAAATTAATTGCTCAAACCATATTATATATATATATATATATATATATATATATATATATATATATATATAACATGGATATCTAGATATTTCATCAGTGTTTATTTGAATTAATTATTTTTTTCTCTAAGAAGTCATAGATACCTTTTGTGTTTTGCTGTCTAAGTGTATTGCTCTATAATTTGTTTTTTGCTAGTTTTTTTGTTTTTGTTGTTTCGGAATTTCAATTTTATTCCTTTTTCCGTGTTTCCTCGCCGGAGTTGATCCAGCATCCGCCAGCAGGTTTCATTCCGGATACAGATAAAAACTCCTTCTGTTCATTAAATATCAAAATTGAAATGTTTCAGAGAGCTTTTCAATAATTTCAGTTAGTGCATTTCAAATGTATGAGTTGTATAGTATGAGTTGTATATTTTGATGTTAATGACTGAGACCTCATTTTCATTTAGTTATTGACATTAAGTATTGATTACTTTCACGTGCCAATTGGACTCAGATGAACAATTTCAACAACATATCCAGGGCGGCGTAATGGTTCAATGGTTAAAGGCTCCTGGTCTGCTGCTACTGCAGTGACGGGGTTCGAATACAAAGAGATCCCCCAATATGCGTGTGTGATGCGTGGTTTTCATGCGTATTCACACGTCGTTGAAACCTCTGAAGCAAGCGCGAGAGAGCAACCTTTATCTACGTCATCATCCAAATCTTCATCAACACGATCGTCTGATTGGAAAGCATTTAATCATGAGTAACTGATAACCACAGAAGTGTAAGGAGTAATCTACCAGACTTGATAATTAAATTAAAAACAACAGTAAAACGTGTATCAGCTATTGAAAATATTGGAACAAATGAACTGATTCATCGAGCGATGTGTGTCATTTTCCTCTTTGTAAGAAAACCTTTAAAAAAATATCGAAAATAAGAATCGTATTCATTCTAACAAAAGCTTACCAAAGGCCATCCAAACTTGCGAAAAGTCTGTCACGAATACGAAATTTTTGAAAACATTTCAAAATTGGTGAAGTCCTATGTAGGTAGCTAAACGAAGACCGCGTTTCAACAACTTCGTCAACGTCATCACTGAACTCATTTTGAATTTCCCGGTCCAGTTTCACACAAACCTGATTTAATAATTTATGAGTAAATTATTGACGAAAATTTATTTTCATACATCACCATAGTAGGGCTTTTTATTGCTACTGGGCCATCTGCATCATATATTTGATCTACTGAGTTTTTAAACTTGCATTCACCATCGAATTTTCGACCATCAAAAGCTTTGTTTGGATGAAATCTTCAAACGTCATTACTTTTTTTATTTAATGACCATCACACTGGTCATCTTAATTATGTCTATTCAAACCTCTACATCTTCATCGTTGACATAGCGTTTCATAACTTCAATTCAATTCAAAAAATCTTTTATTCAGTAAAATACATTACCAGGGAAACCAGAAGTTTTCACTGGTTGGGCCACCCTATCAAGATATAGCAAGAACATATACAAAAGGAAAAAATTGATGTATTCAACGTGATAAAACACAAATTGAACAAAACAAATTATAATAACTTCAGATGGGATTCATTATTATTTTATAGTTGTCATTGATAACGTCATTATCGTCAACATGACCATAACCACCATGTCAATTTTTAACGGTTTTATCTTCAAAAGTTTCAATCAGAAACACCATTACCAGGAAACATTATTCTTAATTTCAGTCACGGCATGAAATCTTTAAAAATTTAACAATTTTTTCTATAACATTTTAGAGGTATTAACAACATGAATAGCACAGGTGAATACGCTTAAACCAACGCATCACAAATTGCACGTGATATCCAGCTTGGGATCCCTTCAGTTCAAACACGATTACTACAACAGCATGACCAGGCATCTTAAAAACATTGCACCATCCCATTGCTTGTATATGTATCTTAAACCTCAGCAAACTAAGCCTCTCCTTAGGGCCTCCAATTGTTTTTTACTACATCATAATTTCAAATAATATTACATTATAATTTTATAAAATAAAGATATTAAAAATATTTCAGCACGGATCATTCACCCACAAAGGCGACAAGTATTTTTTGGAAAGAGTCTTCCCTGAAGAACCTGGAAGATGCCCAGATGATTCTCCAAAAACTTTGGTCAACTTTAGATATTATCACGTTTGCCCCAACTAAATTATCTATACTGTATGAAGTTATAATACGATATGATGAGATGTGATATATGATTGGATGGGATGTGATGTATTATGATATAAATATAATGAGGAATGATATGTATGATACGAATACGACACGATGTGATATGATAGGATATAATGTGACAAGTTGTGTTATTTGATAGAAAAGGATAGGCCCATAGGATATGATAAGATTGAATAGATTATGGTAATATTATTTATAACTCTTCAATATTCTATAATATATAGTTTAAATTGTAAAAATGTTATATAATATAAAATTGTGTATAGTCGGTTTCTGTTTAAAATTAATTTTCAAATCGATAAATAATACATCAGCACATACTTGAACAGTTTATCACCCTCTCAAAAAACTTATAGGTAAATTTGTAAAGAAACATCTATATTTTATTGTTTTTTTAACCTGTAGTTAAAAAATTTCGCAACATTTGACGAAGGGAAAAGACAATGACTGTGGAGCTTTTGCGAAATTAAAAAACTAAAAATTTCTCAACATTACGACTCAGTTGAAACAACTGTAACATTTTTCTTGCAGCAATAAATATAAAAACTTATAGAATTAATACATAAAATTTGAGCGCATTTAATTGTCCATGTTTTATTTGCATTTTTATGAAAATTAAAAACCTCGAAAAAGTTATATTAAAAAAGTTTCTCGTTAATCATTTCTTCATCGTCTGATGCTGGAGCAAACCACGTGATCTTCCTGGGCACTCCCTTCCTGGGCCTCCTCCCCCCCATTGTTTGGCTCACTTCAGCCAATATTGTACAACTATGAGCTTCTTCATTTGGATGCTCACGAGGCAGAACCTCTTCCCTTGCTGCTTGCACTTTTTTCCTGCCTTTTCTTGTTCTCTTGGCAATACTGACTTCTTCTCCTGAGTTGTTGTTTGTCACGTTATTCGTTGAACTCCGTCTCCTTCCACGTTGTCTCTTGGGCTTTCGGGCTGGGAAATTTACATCTGGTGTTGAAGTGTGAGATGGATGTTTTAGGAGATGTTGTTTTAATTTGTACGAAAACTTGTACGAGGCTCCACATGTCTGGCACGCGTGAGACCTCACTTCTGAGTGGCTCTTCTTATGGCTGTTTAGCATAGAATTGTTGGCGCAGGTGTATGTTCTGCAAATTTGACACACAAGTTTTTGCCCTAATCCATGGGCTGTTAGCATGTGGTATTTCATGTGGTGGTTGTTTAGAGCTGCAAATTTACAGTTTTCCACCGAACATTTCTTCTTTTTTGCAGTTTTCTTCTCTGGAACTTCGCTGTCAAATGAAAATTTCATTTGTTCCATTGTTGAATTTGAACGATTTGATTCAGTTGAGAAGAGTGTAATATTCTGTTCGCGTTTGAAATTAAAATATTTTTCCTCAACACCGCTGAACAATATAAGACAATTGTTAACTAACTTGATGTTTCACATTTGGTCGAGCTTATATAGTGCGTTGTAACTTTTTACTGCCTAGAACTTGTAAAAAGCAAAGTTAGATTTTTCATATCTTTGCTGCTGGTTCATCAAAGTAGATCCTGAATATTGACTTTGTGATTTGACAACATAACCATTTTTGGAATAACTCAATTACCTTTTGAATAATTGTTATACATTGAAGTAGATTTTTTTAAACTTTGTGTATTGTTATTTACTCAGAGGCACCGTTAAGAAATTCGTAAGAAAAGCTTTCATTATTCTGTCGCAAAGTTAAATTAGAGACAAACCATGAAAACGCAAGAAATCTAGTTTGCAGTAAAACTATTTATGACTCGGAATAGATATAGAATTGAAATTCACAATGATAAAAAAACCTGAGTGCACGAATTTATCGAAATTTTCTAGAAGTGAAGCTGTTTGTTAAGCCGGCTGCAGAATAAAATAAACCACCGAATGATAAATAATTAACTGCCGTCTTTTTTTACGTTGTTGAGGGTGTTCATTTTCATTTTAATTATCAAAATTCCATAAATATACATACGACAGTTTTACAAGGAATTGTTTTTGACTGACAACTGAAAGATACTTCTATTTAAAATAAAACAATATTTTGTTACATCTGCTGTAATCGAGAATTGAGTTTTTTTTAAATTTTGATTACTGAATAATTTTTTGTCTACAGTCTACGAGACAATCAATTTTAAACTATTTTGATGGACGTCGAGATGGCTTAATGGTCGGCGAGCTTCGTCCTGCTGCTGAGGTTCGACTGCAGAAAGATTCTTGCCTGTAGCATGTTATGTATATAATGCGCCATTTAAGTGTACTCGCTTGCGCTGCTCGTGCGTGTGCGTCAGTGATTCATTTCAATATTAATTTGGAGGAAACAGATAAGGTGAAAAAAAAACAAATTGGAAAGGTTGTTTTAATTAAAAATAAGTTAATCAATTATAACCCAAATCTTATGAAACAAACTTGGTTGAACTGGTTGCAGTATGTTAGGGTCGTGAGGTATTCACTAAATGTAAGTGGTTACTTAATTAATTAAGTTAATTAAATTAATTATCTCAAGTATGTAAGGTATTTTAAGATATCGTTTAAAACGTTGAACAATTGTTTAATTTAATTAATTTATGTTCCAGTCGATCAAAAAAGATTTAATCTCGTTCACAGGTATACAGACTTAGGCAGCGATTATTTAGACTCGCAATGGATATAACACGAAACGCCATGAGACTTCTGGCAGAATGAGTTAATCATCTTCGTAATAACTGTTTTAATGATTGTATTAGCGTATCTCCAGCTAGTGAAGACATCTCAGATCCGATAACTTGTTTAAAAGTTTTATTTTTTTTTCAAAAACTCACGGACGGGATCCAATATTGTTTTTTGTTGAAAAATATGCATTAAAAAATCTAGAAAAAGAATGATTTAAAGTCTCCTAACTCTACACTTTAATTAACTTAGGAATCGTTTTTGTAGTTTCCGTAACGTTTTACAGATTTTCTCAATGCAATTTGCTCAGTTATGTCTAGAAACATGTTTCTAACTCCACAGCCCACTGTTTTACAGTCTACGATTTCTCTCGTAACATGCTTTTTTAACACACACACAAAAAAATAGGAGTCAATAAATCAATCATTATTTTTGTTATTGCAAGAAAGTATTGATTTTCAAGAAAATTAAAAAGACAAACTTATTCTCAAGAGCAATTCAATGCTTATAGCCTTTAAGATTTTTTTTTATAAATTTAAAATTTAAAAATTGGAAAGTAGACATAAAAACCCAATAGACGCGGTACACTCAAACATTCACATTCTAAGTTTATTGAGTTTACGATTACTATCATTAAAACTCATAAAATCTAACAAATTATGTGTAAGCTAAGTTTAATTTCGTAAATACAAAAACTTCCGATCAAATTAGCAAGAGTCAAAAGCATTACAAAAACAATTTTTCATTTACGCAATATATCGTTTGGAAAAATTTGGAAGATAGAACTCTACAAGACGGAGCTAGTATTGCCTATCACATTTCATGTTGGTGAATGTGATGCATCGATTAACGTTTATTAACATGCTACGTAATGTTTGTATTATTTTATTATTTATTGTATTATTCAAATTTAAAAAAAAATAGAATAAAAAGTTTATGATTATCAGTTGTTTAAATCATCTTTCATCATTTGTTCGATTATCTTCCTCCTCTCCTCCTGCCTTTTCATTTCTTTCTCCCTCTCAAACACGCTCTGACAATTTTTGAAGACTTTTCTAGATGATGACGTTTTCGATGATATAAATCGCACGTCATTTCTGTCACTGCTGTTGGTATGATCAGTATAATTATTTGGATCCGAGTCATTGGCCTGGAAAGTTTCGATGTTGTCTTTGTTGCTTCTCTTCGCGTTGCTCAGGCTTCTAATGTTCTTCAGCACCAAGTTTTCAAACGACTCAAAATCATCGAGAGGGTCAGGTATCACTACTTTGAACATCAAGGTAACTTTCAGAGGACATGATGGCAGGCCAACTTCGTCCAAACTGGCAAGAGCTTGCTCCTGCCCACTGTACTGTACCAAACACAAACCTTTTTTGTTGCCCGAAAAGATTAACTCTTTTACAACGCCGTATCTTGAAAATATTTTTCTCAAAACATTTTCATCATAGTCGTAGTCTTGTGAGAGCTTCCATTTGATCTTGACATTATACCCTCCGTTATTCTCGTCCTCTCGCATTTTGCTTTCTTTCATTTGTTTTCGTTTTAATCGTTCCCTCTCTTCTACTGCTTCTCGTTCCATTTCAGCTTTTAGTTCAGCACGTTTTCGTAGTTCCTCTTGCTGTTTGAAAACATCTTCCTCCAACCTCTGCTTCTTTGCTCTTGCCTCATCAGCTATCAACTTTTCTGCAAATCTTTTTCTATTTACGTCCATCTCTTTTTTCTTCTTCTCCGCTTGTTCACGAGCTCTGATGACGCTATCGTATTCATTTTTTTTAATGGGATCTAAAAAAAACTCGTAAACTTTCTGCAACAGTTGAAATTGTTCAACTGCTTTGGAATTGTTAGGATTCTTGTCAGGGTGAAGCTTCAGGGCCTGTTTCTTGTAAGCCTTTTTTACCAGGTCCTCACAAGACAACTGAGGAACATCCAACAGTTCATAAAGGTCATACTTCTTCAGATCGATAGAATTTGATTTGGACATTTTTGCTGAATCAAGTGGACGATGTGAAATCTTGAACAGTAATGAAACCTCTCTCAATGTCGTCTTCGTTATATAATGCTTCAAACAAAGACTCTCACCAAAGAATATATAAGTATACATAGAATATATAGGGTGAACTTTGTTTAAGTGAACATAAAGAAACTCAATTCAGAAACAAAGTAATTTGTGGAACTTGTCAGTTAATCACTTTGACAAAGTTATTCACTTTGAGAATGTAATTAACTGACAAGCCCCACAAAGTAGCTTGTGGGGCTTGTCAGTTAATCACTTTGACAAAGTTAATCACTTTGAGAATCAAAGTCAATAAGACAAAGTTGGTTCAATAATTGTGTGCTAAGAACGAAAACAGTCATTTACGAAAGCAGATAACGCGTTCTACCTATGTATATCATTTGTTACTGAAGCGAAAATATACAAACTAATTTTCAGAAACAAAGCAAGATTACATATGGGTTGTCAATAAAATTTTAATCCATTTTATTCTTTATTTTTATTGTCAGTCAGTAATTTACGACCCCCTTTAAAAATTTTGAGAAACTTTGAGAAGCGAAAAGCAATTAACAATGTTAGTACAATAATTTTGTACCCCAGAATGAAGAAATAATTAAACTTAGGCTAACGCTAGTGCAAATGTATGCAAAGAACTTATCACATTATCCATGGGTGAAACATTCATATTTTAAGCAAGCACGTTGTCAGTAAGACACCAACTTTTCAAAAAATAAAAGGTATTAAAATTTTATTGGCAACAATAAAAGTACAGATAGCAAGTAGAAGAAACGTTTAGAAGATAATTGATTATGAGAGTAAAAAAGTTAATTTGCCATTTTTTACTAATTGTTTAATTAATTAATTAATTAATTGATTAATTCCGTTAATTAACTTATGAATTGTCATAAGAAGTGAGCTAATTTACAAAAACTAAAGCTTCATCGTATCAAGGGAAATTGTTGAAACATAGAAACAAAAGAAAGTTGATGTAAGAGTGGCAAATAAATTTAGGCAAATTATTGGCAATGAAAAATCATCGATCGTAACGACCAATTTGAAAATTTGATAATTTTTTTTATTCATCTATGGACTTAATAATAATATCATATTCATTTCTTGCATGTACTTTTGGTCACTTCAGACTAGCTGCAAATATTTTTATTAAACTTGAGCTAAAATAATGTTCAGATAATAATAGGTTCATTATATACCTAAATATTCGAGGTGATAAATTCGATCATTTTTTTTCAAAATTTTAAAATTTTCTTTCAAAATTTGATCATTTCTTACAGAACTGATCACTTTTAATACAACCTGAAATTTTTTAGATGATAATAGGTCCGTCATATGAAGTTAGATGAAAATTGAAAATGCGTGAGTTAACTTTCACCATTTGAATAAAGCAGAAATAATAGAATTACTAAATAATTACAATCCCATTCAATCACTTCTCTGTGCTTTCTGCATTTTAACAATCTTCTTCATCTTACGACGATTCAAAATTATTTTCTGGTTGGCGTGGTTGTCATTTTCGTAGACAAACCACTTTAGCCTATAGATCGTGGAATCGCCTTCACTGTTGACACTTTCTCCAATAGAGTCATTACAACGTATCTTGTCGTTTTTAAAATCCTGGCACTTGCTGGTGTTTGCATTTTGTTCTGGTATTAATTGTTGTTGTTGTTGCTGCTGCTGCTGCAAATTGTTCTTAGGTTTACTGACATTCAAACGTTTTTTGTGAAAAATTCTTTTAGCCAACTTTGGAGGCGAATGTCTGTTTGGTGAGTTTATGAATTAATTGCTGGGTTTGTTTGTTGGCTTGTTAAAAACATAAGCTAATCAATTTACGTTTTGATTGAAAATAATTATTTATTTCTTTATAGAATAATTAAGTTCCTAGTGGAAAAACAAAACAACATTAATAACTACATTGAAGTTGTTGGAACATGATAATATAGTAATAATTATAATGAAACTTATTACATATAATAATAAATTGAATAATGATATAAATATTAATAAAATAATATTATTATTATTAATAATACTAATAATATTAATAAAAAAATATAATATTATTAATGAACACTTTTTACTTGGGCGTTCCGTTGTATTGACATTTTTTACTGACTGATGTTTCGCTTCGTCTTGCGATCGACACCATCCTCATAAACTTACTCTCCTCAAATTTTTTGGACTTGATTTTTTCTAAATTCATGGTCAAATTTTTTTTTGATTCAAATTTTTTAACAACCTCAATATTTTTTTGAGTGTCTACATGAGAATGAAATGTTTCCTGTTCTTTTTTTTCAATTTTGGGCGGACAGATTTCACGCCCGGGGATAACTAATTGGCTGTCTGTAAGTAATATAACTTTTTTACAGTCCGTAACTGGAAGATGTTCCAAAACGTCGGCCTGCTCTAACGTGTTAATCACACGAACATCCGTCTTTGAGAGTTTGGACGGCGTTTGAAGTTTGGAAGTTTGAAAGCTTACCGACTTATTCCTTTTTGGGAATAAGCTTTTTTTAACAGATGTATTGCTGGCAGTTACCGGCTGATTTGTAAAACATTCCAAAGAGTCCGACGACCAATATTTATTACGTGGTAATTGTAAATGATGTACTTTTTTGCGTTTTTTCAACTCTCTTCTCTTAGATTTTTTCAAATATTTTTTTGGCGGAACATCTACTTTTGGTGTAACATTTACAAAAGCATGATCACTTCCACAAATTTTATCCACCCTGCCAATGTTTTTCATCGCCTTTATCTTTACACAAAAGTTCTTTTCAAATTTAGAGAACAGCTTTTTTACATGACGCACCAAAAATTTTTTAATTTGTAGAGCACCATTATTGTTATTATAGTTGTAATTGCTTTCTTCTTGGTTGTTATTATTATTTTTACAATTAATATTTGTTTTGTTGTTGTTAGCGTTGTTGAAAAAATATCTACCCTTACTACAATAGTCATTCATGGGAATGTTGTGGAAACTGAAACGGTCCGGATTAATGCGAAGGAGATGTCGCGGTCTGCATTTCATAAAGTTAGACAGTTCACACATTTTATTTTGCCTCGGGGAGCTGTTTATACAGTTGTCACTGAAACCACAACAACGATTTGAATATAAATAATCATTTCTTGCAGATAGCGGTCCTAAATCGTCTAAAAATTTACTGTTATGTCTTTGAAAATTGTTGAGACTTGGAGCGTAAAAGCCTTGATTGTTTCTGCAGAAGCCCGGTGACCTCGCGTTGCGATGGTGGAAATTTTCAAATCTAGATGAACATGGACAGAATGGTTGGTCAGAATTGCCCAACACATTCTGGTCCAGACATCTGCGGAAGTTTCTGCATTGACTTATGACGTGGTCGAATTCGGATGTGAGTTTATAATTGTTTGTGTACCTGCTGTTGAAAGCATTGTGCACACCTAATGAAAAGTCGTCGTCCAATCTCCTCGACTTGGTGTACTCGTCTAAAAATTTCGCGAGAATGGGATTAGGAAAGTTTAAGAAATTCTTTGGCAGTTCGTTCGTTATGTTTCCATTCAGTAAAAAATTACCTCCTTCTATTTCTGAAAATGATTCAGTTTAAAAAAAAAAAATAAAAACAATATTTTACAAAAATATAGAAAATAATATTGGTGGATAACTTTTCATGTGCTCAAAATCTAACCATTAAAATGGACTGCCTTTTCTTTCCGCAGGATGTCCGTCAGATCTGCATCCATCATCAGTGAGTTCTTGACAGCTGCATGTTTCTGCTTTAATATCTCCATGCTTACGTTGGGGCTTACGCTGCGTCGACTGTCGAAGAACATTTTTGTTTGTGGGTTCATGACGACCGGGACAGGGGGAGACCTTGCATTCCGTACTGAACAGTAGGAATTGTTCGTGGAGCTGTTGCATTTTTTAATGGATTGTTCAGAGAAGGATGATGAAAGTTGTTGGGAATGATGAACATTGTTTTTCATATTTGCTCCCAAACTTGCTCTTCTGTTGGAATTTGTAATTTCAATAGGATCGGTTTGTAGCTGCCTATCACAGCATTGTTTCGTCATTGTCCATGTTGAGGTTTTTGCTGACGTTGATGCTGTTGTTTTTAATGGGTAGACATTGAGATTGTGTTGGGTGTTGTTGTTTCTGTCGTCGGTCTGTTGTTGCTTGTGTTGCTGGTTTGGTTTGTACTGTTCCGCGGAGGTAGGAGTCTGTACTTGCTTTTCCTTTCGATGCGGTTTTAAATTTGGTTTAGGGTTGATTCGATGAACTGAGGGTCGTTTTGGTCTTGGCGGCTTATAGACCTGAGGTGGGGGATTTGGTAATGGCAGTTTAAATGGGGATGTTCTTGGTGGTTTTGGTGAGCTGTGCTGTGAAGAAGGTCTTGCGTCGAAAGAAAATTTTTTCAAAATTTCCCATGTTCTCACAGCCGAGCGTGCTTTCGGTTTCGACTTTGATTTTTTTTTCTTTGGTTTCTCATTTGTTTGCACTTCTCTTGGTTTTTGTGAAAATTTATTGAAAGATTTAATGTATTTAAATGTTACATACTAATACTAATACTGCATTTATTTTTAATTTATAATGAATTATAAACTTTTAATTATACATTTTATTATATTACTTACACACAAACACACACACACACACACACATTCTCTCGCCTTCTCTCTTACACACACACACACACACACTCACTCACACAGACATCACACACACACAAACACACACACACATTTTTCGCCTTCTCTCTTACACACACACACACACACACACTCACTCACACAGACACACACACACACACAAAACACACACACACACATTCTCTCGCTTTCTCTCTTACACACACACACACACACAACACACACACACACACACATTCTCTCGCCTTCTCTCTTACACACACACATACACACACACTTACATGGCGGGTTGGCTGTTTTTAAACAATGACCGCTGAAGGTCATTCAGTGTTTTTTCAGGGTCATAAAAAGTCCTGATGATGATGATAATTATGGATGGTGATGATGATGATAATTATGGATGGTGATGATGATGATAATTATGGATGGTGATGATGATGATAATTATGGATGGTGATGATGATGATGATGATGATAATTATGGATGGTGATGATGATGATAAAGATGACGATGAAAATCGTTGTTAGTAGCGTCAATGAATTTGTTTCCACACTAAAATCAACTCTTATTCACAAACCTCAAAAAGTTAATTATTAGTTATAATTTAAGCGAAATTATACCAATTTATCAAAAATATAGTCATTATATAAAATGAAGTTATAATTTAATCGAAATTAAAGCAATTTATCAAAAATATAATTATTAAATAAAAATAAAGTGATAATTAAATAGAAATTAAAACAATATATCAAAAATATAATCATTAAATAAAAATAAAGTTATAGTTAAATCGAAATTAAAGCAATTTATCAAAAATATAATCATTAAATAAAATATTTGACAAAAATTGTATTTCCCTCCCTCACTTGTTGAATGATCTGATCTTGGTGCAGATGTGCTTCTTGGGGTCGAGCTTAATGACCTCATATAAAAGTGGGTCGTCAGGTGACTGATGATGATGATGATGGTGGCGTGGCGGTAGTGATAATGATGATGATGAGGTGGTGATAATGATGATGACGGCATGGTGAAAATGATAATGTTAGTGATGATGAAGATTGTGATGATGATGATGATGGTGACGTGGTTGTAAATAATGAAAATTGTGTCAGTGATGATGAAGAAGAGAATGTAGATTATAATGATGATGATGATGACTATTCTGATTACACCGATGATGGTGATTGTAACATTGAAATTAGTCATTTAATTATTCAACCAACATATCGTTCACCCAATCCGCCAACCAACGATACATTCAATTAATCACATGTCCAATCAATCGAACAATTCGCCAACCATTCATAAATTAAAACTTTTCAATAAACCAACCAACCACCAAACTAGCCGGTCAACAAACAGTTCAAGAAACCGCTCACTCAAAAAAGCAATGACTCAACCAACCCAGCAAACTAACCGTCATATAAATAACGGCTGCGTTTGGTGACACGGATACCAGCTTGATGTCGACATTATGTTCATTCTGCAGACTCCTGTACTTCAGTGAGTACAATTTCTTATTGCCACTCCATCGCTGCGGAAGTTTGTACAAGTCAAAATCCTCACTCCCGCTCTGAGTTGTTCCAAGGAAGATCAAATTTTAAAAAATTCTACAGAGTACGGAATGAAATGGTTGCAATACGGTGCAACATTTGAGGCGTTTGACCGTGCTGTTAGAGTGCCAGGGTTCGAATGCAAGGAAATCGCAGCCTATCATATTCATGTTTGTGATGTGTGCGTGCATGTTGGTCATTTTTGCACTTGATACCTCCAGAGCAGTTGAGGTCTCTAGACCAATTGATGTCTCTAGACCAATTGAGGTCTCTAGACCAATTGATGTCTCTAGACCAATTGAGGTTTCTAGACCGATTGAGGTCTTTGGAGCAAATAAGGTAAATCATAATGATCTTTAATCTTTCAATTAATTATGAAAAATAAACGTTTCGAAGGCTTGTTTTGGTTTATATGAAAAGAAAATTTAAAAGTTGAAAACCGTTTATGGTTTAGTGAACTTTCTGTCATTGGACTGAGCGAAGATTAAGTAGGGTATGAAAATCAATTACATTAAGCAAAAAAAATCGTCTTATTGTGTAACAAAAACCCAAACAACCTTTCAGAAAATTTTTGGCTAGGCCAACATCAACCGATATATCAATCAATCAACTAACTAATCAACCAATCAGATTTTAAATTAGCCAATAAAACATTCAATCAACCAGTAAATAATCCATTCAACCAATCAATGAACCGGTCAATCAACCAACCAATCAATCAACCAACCAATCAATCAACCAACCAGTCAATGATCCAGTCAATCAACCAACCAATCAACCAATCAATCAAACAACCAGCCAATCAATCAACCAGTCAATCGAACAACCAATCAATCAACCAGTCAATCAAACAACCCTTACATCAGATCTCAGTACGAATGCGTTGTTAAGCATAGTAGCGTGAACGCAAACAAACAGGGCGTCACAGGCACATTCCACGTTCCATCTCTCTAACTGGTACAAGCTCTTCAGAAACATTTCTATTAAATTCCTCCTCTAAACATATTTATATTTTTCTGTAAACACACAAACCACAAGCCTATTAAGTAAAATAAAAAACATTAGTGTCCAGAAACTTAACTTTAAGCTACTATCGTTAAATTTTAAAAATATTATTGTGCCTAATTAATATTATTAGTAATAATAATGTTATTATTATTTGTATATTAGGAATTTTATATAATTAGTTTTAATTATTAACTTATGATTATAATTCTTCATACAATAATAATAATAATAATCGAGGCTGTTGTTGTTATTATTATTGTTGTTGTTGTTATTGTTGTTGACATTTTACGCTTTTTTTACGTTTTTAGCTCAATGGTTTGTTTACATAACAATTAGAAAAAAAAAGTAAATAAACAACGCGGTAGGGATGGACTGGTACAATTAAAGATTAAATTGTAATTAATTAATACTATCTGATCATATATACTTAGAGTAACAATGTTTGATTTCTTTTTTATTCCGAGAATAAATTAGGAATGTAAAATTTATAATTTGCATTTAGTAGAGGTTGTAAAGTAAAATAGTATGAAAAAAATTATCTAAATAATAATAAAATAATAATTAAATAAATATTTTTTCTTTCTAGCAAGTAGGGAAAAGCAAAAGTATAACAAAATGCAACTCTCTCTTTTACCACTCCCAACGAAACTTGTTAACAACCATAAAAAATATATTAACTTTCGTTAGAAACTTCGAGTTTGTATCGTATTCAATATCACACTTACCGAATGGAAATCTGCATTTTTTTGCAATGTTTATAAATGAAAATTATTTATTTCATTTATAAACCTTGAAATAGTTGAAAAAATTATTAGTTTTATATTTTTTCGAGGCGTTAATTCAAATAATGGAACCATAAGTTCAACTTTTTCTAAAAAGAGCAAAATGTTTCATAACAAATTTGTTGTTGTTTTTTGAAGTTTAATGGCGTTTTAAAATATAAAATAAAATGTGAAACTTTATTGGTAGACGACTTGTGGAGGCGACAAGTGTCAAACAATCGTCAAACTAACAATCGCGCCTGTATTCCATCGACCACACGACCTCGCTGCGACAGAGGGGGGCATGAAGTTTTTCGTATACAAGATGGATGCATTACATGAGTGCATCTCAACTCGTGCACGAGGGTGTTCTCTTGAAAGTTTTCCACACAGATGCAGCACTCGTTGTATTTGAATCTCTCGGGAATGTAATTCCAGAGATATCTTCGATTTTGTGTCAATGAATGAATGTAGATGTCGTAGATTTTAATCTTTGCCCTTGTGACACTCCCACCATTGACAATTACGTCTTCCCAAGACTCGCTTTGAAGTGCCGGTCTTTTTAAAAGTTGTTCATAGTACAATTCCTGAGAAGTTTTGAACAACTGGAACTGTTCGTCGGCAGTGAACGAATGAATTCGTTCCAATAGTAGCTCGTGATCTTTGTGATTTAAATAATTTTCCCCTAGTAAAAAAACACGCGCAAACCTCTTGATTTCGCCATCAGATAAATGATGAAACCGTTTGTTTTTTCTCAATACTTTTTAAACGTTCGAATTCCCTATGAGACACATCTCTTATTATACTGTTCTTCGAGATCATCCAACAACGTTTCCTGCAAGTTCAGACATCACTGCGACAAGCAAATTATCCAGGTGTGAGGAATAATGTGATCTACTGATTGCCAGTAAGATTTGAAAATTTTGGATGAACACCTGAATGGACCCCCATAGCAATCACGCAAGAGGAAATTAACTTTTGGCCGAACAAAGAATTTAACATAGATATAATAATTTTATGGGTTGTAAACAAAAATGTTTATATGATAATTTTTTTGTCATAATAAAATTTTAATAAGCTTTAAATGAATCTTTGTATGAAAAATTTGCAAATGTAAACCCAGCAATAAATTTAATACACCAAGAGCGAGCTATTTACTTTGGTTAAACAAAGACCGAGATGAAATAATCTCAAGCAGAGAAACAGCAAAACAATTCGTCATTAATTTTGAATAGATTTCTTTATTCTGTATTTTTTATTTAAAATTTTATTCGGCAAAGCCAGATAATAAAAAAAACAAGCTTGTGCAATTGTGCATATTAACTCAGATATTGTACAACAGAAACAATATGGTTCAGGCTTTTTGTTTTAAAACGTAATATAAATAACCAAATATTTAACTAAGTTAATTATATTATGTTTTTTATATTCTGTTTCGCGTAAGACAATGATGATTATGAATTATATAAAAAAAACTTCGATTAATTAACATCCTTCTTTCATTTTCTTTGTGGTCTTTTGTTTATTTAGGAGAACTTGTGTTTTGCTGAGAATACAGAAAGATTTCGTGGATTGTTACGGAAAGCTTAACTTTAAAAATCATTAAAACTGAATTGTTTTTTGTTCCATAGAATCGCAACGTCAATTTGGTTCACTTAAACTGATATCATGCTTTGAAATGATATCATGCTTTGAATTGATACCATGCTTTGAAATGATACCATGCTTTGAATTGATACCATGCTTTGAAATGATATAACTAAGAAGTGGAAATTTTTTGTCTTCATATTGACATAACATAAATCATTGTAATGATTGTTATAACCTTAAAACCAGGCCTACAGATGTTGATTATATCTCGTTTTAATCTGTGGTCTCACAAACTCAGCCGTTTGTTATAATGAACAAATGGCTGAATTCTAGGAAGATACCAAATAAAATATCGTTGTAACCTTGACTCTCGTAACTATCAACACCGATGTTATAACTTAAACTTCTCTATATTTCCAAAACCAGTCTTGTAGCTTCCAGAGATCGTCATGTGTCCGTTATTCCGTAGATTCAAGGTTTCCGATAGATGAACACAACTGCTTCAAACGCAAACTTTGTTTAACGTTTATTTGAATACCAACAGTAATAGAAACAATAAACCAATCCAAGTGACTACACATAAATCACTCAATATTTCTTTACAATCCTCTATCCAAAGATCGCAGATATAGCAAAGATAACAATAACGATTACTATGTGATATACGGTTGTTTAAAAATATTACAGCATTGCATGCGTTGTTCAATTTGCAATTGAGGTTTACAATTTTTTGTATATATATATATACATATATATATATATATATATATATATATATATATATATATTAGTGCTTGGTGGTAGTCATCTTGTTGGCCCTTTTTCTTCTCCTCCATTTGAGCAGAGTGATTAAGCACACCAAATAACAAATGATAGAAAATATGACTCCAAGAATTACCACTCCATAAAATATCAGCTCATATATTGCTGTGGTTCGTTGATTGGTTAGTCAGTTAATTGTTTGATTGGTTAGTTGTGCTTGATTGGTTGGATGTTGTGGTTGGTTTTTTGGTTGATTGGATAAACATTATTAATAATATCTATACATATTTATTTATTGTATATAGTTGAGGTAAAAAGTAATAGTCGGAATAATTATTGAAACAAACTTACCCAATGATCTCTCAAGCCTGCAATAACCGTTTTTAATAGGCTTCGGAGGGTTAAGATTGGACACCCACAAGAAACTCGTGGCAGAAATCATGGTGACATTCGGACATTTGAGAAATGACATTTCTGGATGGTTGATTGATTGAATGATTGGCTAGTTACTCGGTTTATAGAATGATTAATTAGTCAGATGGTTGGCTGGTTGGTTAGCTAACTGGGCGGTTCATTGGTTGGTTAAATGATCATCCGGTTAACTGATTTGAATGACTAATTAACTGATGTAAATAATAAGTTAACTCGTTACTTTCGTTTACCATGTAATCAAATACTGAAAAAATTTATTCAAACACGCATACAACAAATAGGATTATCAGATTCATACAGTGATGCTTACGACCGATACCTCAAAGACGCAAGCAAACAAAACATTTTCCCAAAACAAACAAACACAAACTTTCAATAATTTTATGACATAGACGGGATCTCACAAACATATCCACACATAACTTTACGAGAAATAACCTAAAATACCACAAAGAAACACACACACGCTTTCGGGAAAATATTAGCAACAGAAGCCCAAAAACACTCAAGTCACACACTTACATTTGGCACAAATACATCAACAACCAGCTTCAACCAACACCAACCAAAATTTTCGCACTCGCCCACACTCCCAATAACGTATGCATTGTCCCAGGTGTCGTCTGAGTATTGCTCACTGTACCAGTTCTGATCAGGGACGTCTGTGGCGATGCAGTCCCAGCCGGCTGCCCTCGTGTCGATGTAATTTCTGTCGCAACTTATGGCGAAGCCCCCGATCATTCCATCTACGCTCATGACGTGTACTGCCACGGTCTGGTTTGGCGAGTTTTGGGTTTTTGTTTTGATGTCTATTTGTTAGGTGCTTCTGGTGAGTTTTTGTAAATTAAGCAAATTTTAGTGACCTTTTTTTCGGTTAAAAAGATATAACGTATATTTCTTCGTAAAAGAGCAGTTTATTTTTTAATTTTCTTAATATGGTTTCTGGTAAGGGGCTGGACCAACCAAATCAAATTTAATTATTAAATAAATTAAAATCATAAAAAAAAACTTATATATATATATTTGGTGCTGCAACTTAAGGCTCTACGTCTTTCTAATCCAGTAATAATAATAATAATTATGTAATAATAATTATAATAATAATAATTATTATTAATTTTTAAAATTATTATTTCTCTCAAGTTATTTGTTCATTTGAAAAATTAATATATAAATGTAAAGTAATGAAATGTAATTGTACTATTAAACTATGCTATATGAGGCAGAACGAAAAGAAAAATTCTTTACTTTGATTCTTTTGACTGGAAAGACAAATCCATTACTCCAAGCTTTTGAATCCATCGAGTTCAAAACTGTCGACTTGACTCCATTTATGTAGACTTCACATGTGTCTCTGCATATCATAGAACACTCTAGAATTTTTGTTACAATTTTTCTCTTAAAGATATTTAGAGGTATCAACAACAAACACTCAGCCCGTGTAAACAAGCGTGAATCAACGCATTACACCCAATGCATGTGATAGGCGCAGATGTCTGCATTCGAATCTAGTCACTGCAACAGCGGAGCCAAGCATCTTAACCACAACCCCATCAGTGTGTCAATGAATGTAATATTGTATCATAAATCGTAGTGTCTCATAATTTCTATTTTCATAACTTCAGAAGCAGTAAATGTGCTTGTGTGTGTGTGTGTGTTGTGTGTGTGTGTGTGTTGTGTGTGTATTTATTTACATGGAGTGTGTTGTGGGTGTGAGTTGGGTGTGTGCATGTGCGCGCATTTTCATCATATTTTGTGTAACCTTTCGGTTTTCCATTAGCTGGATCGTGGAAAAGAAAAATAAATAAGTAAATATTATTAATATATATTTGCATATTTTAATAATTTTAATATATATATATATATATATATATATATATATATATCTCGGTTATTGTGAGATAAAAACAAAAAATAACCAAGTTTAGATGTGTAAAATAATGGAATAAATAATGTTTTCTAGGCATAACAATAACTTCAATAAGTTTTTTTTTATAAATTATAATATTAAAAAATTATTTATTGGACATAAATAGGAAAAAATTTGGTAAACAACCCGGGCCTAAAATAGAAATAGCAATATGGACGATTACGTTGATGACTGAATAAGGCGCCATATGGGAATTACCAAAAATCATAAAGGTTATAAATATAAGATGGTAGATGTTTTATTTTTATAAAATAATAATACAAAAAAATTAATTATAGCATAATTAATTTAGAATAAATAATTTAATGTCTCAATATTTAAGTTTGGGACGGTAAAACTGTATGTAAGATTTTTATTAAGTTAACTTGACTTAAAAGTCAACAAATTTTTAAAAGATGTTTTCAATCATATCGCCAAAATTTTCAACAAAAAAATGTTTGTTTTTATTATTACTACTACTATTATTATTATTAATGAAAAATATTCGAAATGTTAATTATTTTTATTGTTATCGCGTTCACTCAAACGATGACGTCACACAAAGAATGTATATTTTATGAAATTTCATGTTTTGGGTCTTATCAATAAAATAATTATTTAAAAAATTTAAAACAATGTTGTTAGAGTTAAAATTATTCACATGAATGAAATATAGAATTTATTATTTTTAAATTTTTTTAATCAATTAGTTGTTTATTCATCCATCATAAATTGTTTTTACATGACCTTCATCCATTTATGGCCTGAAAAATTACGTCTACATAGATAACTTTTTAAAAACATCAACAGCTAAATAAAAAATAAGAAAAAAATACCTTAAATCTAACCCATTTTATTATAAATAAATTTATATAACAAAAATGTAAACAAAATCGAATATGACCAAAATTTTCTTTTAAAAAAATCAGCTCAAAGATTATCGTAAATAAAAAAATCATTCCTTATTGTAAATCTAGAGACTTTTTTTAATTTTCCCATAGTGTACCAACTTACCAAGAAATAATAATCGGAACCTTGCCTTGCCAATCGAATTACTCTATCGACAAATACCGACTAATTTGAACCGACCGACCGGTTGTAAAAGTCGATTCACCTTTGTAATTGAATGAATGGTCAAAACTGTTAAAAACAAAATTTCTTTTCAAAATATGCCTCAACGAAAATTACAAATATGCTATTACTATATTTGAATTATATAAAAAAAACAGTAAATAAATAATGTTAATAGTTAGTGATTAAATTAATCAAATGATGTTCAAAAGCGCTTGATCCTCTATACAGCAGTGATCTGGTTCAATTGCAAACTGATCCACAACTATCATATGCAAAATGTGTGTGGCGTGCTTTCCGCACTACGTTTGTGTCTGTCCGTGTCGATATTTCTGAAGCAAAATTTTGACTTTCTAACCTTTGACTTTCTTTCTGACTTTTAATTAAATTTCTTCAAATTTAAAAAAACGATAATTAAAAAATTAAAAAATAGTGATAAGAAAAATAATTTTTTTAACAATTTCTTCTGCAGGAATCGAGAACATTTGGTGGTGCGTCAGATTAAATGATTGGAGTGAATGATCGTGCCAGGCTTCAAGATGAATGACGTATCGGTGGTTTAATTTCGTTAACGTTATCGAGCCAGCCACAGCGACAACAGCTAAGAGCACCCACCCAACCACTGAGACATAACAAACATATAAATAATAATGATTTTTCATTCGAATGAGGAGAATCACTCGCCAATAAAAGAATTTTTCATTGATTACTTTACAGTAAGTAACATATTTTTTCTGAAAAATGGATTTTAATTGAAAGATAGGTGTTTATGATGGGAAATTTTGGCAATTTTGTCAGAGCGATGGTGTAATTATGGCCAAGAGACCTGGCTGTTATGTCGCATAAAATTGGTTCGAACGCAAAATGAACCTTGGCTAATGCATGCTATTACGTGTGGGATGCGTTGATTTCTAGGTTTTTAGTTAATACCTTTGGGAAATACACATTTCTAGCGCCCGATAAACATATCTTCGTACAAATGTTTGAAAAATGTATTTTTTAAATATTCATTCTTTAACTTATGTATCATTTCTTGAATTTAAAACTATTTTAATATCACTGTAATAAAATCAGTACACCATCCATTACATCAGGAATAACACACCAACCACGGTGAACTAATTTTTAGTTGAATACCTTAATAAATTATAAAAACTAAACAAACTTTGCTACACAGCAGCCACACAAGACTTACACTGCGACGACAGCCACAACTTCCTTGCAGACCACAACCACATCATTTAAACGTCAGGAATGATTGAAAAAAATATGCTAAAAAAAATCAGAGCAAAGAAGACAAGGCAAGCACCCCAACCTGCCGAGTTACCAGCAACCAGGCAGCCAAGTGACAAAGAAACTAAAGAGTGCAAATTTTTTTTTAAAACATTTAACCTGGCCGTCAAAAAGGTCACAACTAACAGTAGAACAACTGGCAAAAATAAAGTGGCTAACCAAAAACACCTGAAATTTTCGGACAGTAGTATCGCCAGTAACAACAGCCAAAATTACCAAAAGAGCATCGAAGATGATATCGAAGATGAAATTGTTGAAAAATCTCGCCGAAAAGGTGTTTGTACCAGGAGGGCCATAACTAAAAACCAAGCAAAAAAACGATCTGAATCACTTTCTACAGGTTTGAAAATGGTTACAAACAATTCAACAAGGAGAAGTGTTGTCTCGAAACGAATTCAATCGCCCTCCCCATCGCCATTGTCTTCCGCTGCTCAGAATTCCTTCAAATTCAGATCGCGTAACTTCCGCTCAACGAATCGTGGAGGAGGTTTCAAAGTGGTGAAGAGTAATGTGAACATCAACGCCGCTCAATTAACCAAGGAAACTGAAGTAGAAGGGTTAAAGACGAACGACGACATAAAGGTGGCAGATGGGAAAATGTACAATGAGATTTTCAAGAATAACGAATCGTTTTATTTTGATGAAGATGGAAAAGAAGGAGGATTGGAAAAAGAAATAGAAAAGGATGAAGAGAGTGACGAAGAAGAAGAACGAATAATACATTCAAGCGAAACGGTGTTTTCTATAAAACCGGCCAAACCTCTTTCTGAAAAAAAACTAATCAGATCAGACAGGAATGGTAGCAAGAACGCTGCTGGTCAAAAAAATGTTTCAAAATCTGAAGAAAGTGAAGAAAGTGACGAAAGTGATAACAGTGAGGATGATTCTAGCTCTAAGTCCAAGAAAAAAAAAAAATCAAATGATAAAAGCCCCACTGCAAAATCGTCATCTCCCAGTTCAAAATCCTCATCTTCAAAACCAAAATCAAAAACATCGAGTAGTTCTAAAAAGTTAAGCAAATCATCAGGTTCTAAATCAGAATCCAATAAACAATCATCAACATCCGCTCGTTCAAAAAAATCAAGGCATGAAAGTGGTACAGAATCAAGTCGATATAGTAAATCGCGGAAAAGTGACAGATGTCGAAAGAGTAGCAAAAGGTCAAAGTCAGACTGCTCGAGCTCGGGGTCTGAAAGCAAAAATTCGGAAAATTGCAAATGTGGTACGTTCTGTTGCCCCATGAATTTATCGTGCATGTGCGATGCCTCGGGGGGGCTGTGTAACCCTGCGTGCGACGCCTGCTGTAATCCTTACATACAAAGATTAGTTAACTGTGTCGTGGGGGGAAAATGGCCCTGTCCGTGCAATTGTTGTTACAATGGAAAAGGAAAATGTTGTAGTAGCAGCAAATCTAGAAAAAAATCTGGAAAGACCTGTTGCGTCTGTTTCAACATTCCAAAGTCGGCCTGTTGTCAACCATGCTGTTCGCCATGTTGTGATCCGTCTTGTGATCCGTGTTGTCCGCCATGTTGTCCGCCATGTTGTCCGCCATGCTGTCCGCCATGTTGTGATCCATGTTGTTCACCTTGTTGTTCATCTTGTTGCGATCCGTGCTGCTCGTCCAAGTGTTGCGGTTACAATCCATGCTCTTCCTGCACAAGCACACTAGCTGCTGAAAGGTTGAGAAGTTTTTTAAACGTCAGTAATGAATATCGTAGACTGAAGCAGTGTGTGGAGTCCTATTTGGGTTGTAATCCATGTGAAAGAACGGCTCGTTGTTCACCGAACTGCTGCAGCAACAACATGATTCAGGGTTGCTTTTGCAGTGTTGAGCCAACTAAAAAAAAAAAATCCAAATCGTCCGAAATTGAGCCAGATGTAGTGGAGCAATATTTTGTACCAGATGAGAATGATGACGATATTGGTTTAGGTCTAGACGATGACGACGACGATGACGACGATGATGATGATGACGATGACGACGATGATGACGACGACGACGATGATGATGATGACGACGACGACGATGACAGCAACGAAAGCAACAACAACCTGAGAGATCTTATGCATCTACTCCGGGTATTAAACGCCCGAGGTCTTAAACAGTTTAACCACATGCCTCCAACCGTACTGCTGAATCTACTCAAATTGAACTATTTTTCAGCTACTGGTATTTTTTGTCCAAAGAAATGGGAAAAAATGACTAAAAATCAAATGAAGAAAAAAAGTTTAATTAAAAAATACATGCAAAAGTGTAAAAAGAAATGCGTTAAAAAAATTAAAAAACAATTATCAAGTAGAAAAAAAAAGAAAGAGAAAAAGAAAATTAAACAAAAAAACAAGAAAGAGAAAAAAAATAGGTTGAAAGGGACCGAAAAAAATAAAACTGAAAAACAGCTTGAGCAAAAAAATGGGTTGAATAAATGCAAGAAGAACATTAAGTTTTGTACGGAAGTTAAATTCTTAAATTCCAACGACAATATTTGTTTCTGTGAGAACATGTGCTGCGGCTGTGATCAATCTAATGACATCAACAACCACGAACACCACAACAACCACAACAACTATCCCAACAATCAGAATTACTACGACGAAATCGACTTCACAGAAATCAGCAGCAGCCCAATCAGCGCCGGTACTAACAGCGAGATTTCAATTAGTGGCAGGTATAGTACCGATCAAACTTTAAAGAACCGAGACTGCATAAATATGAAAAAATCAATTAGAAGATATTCCAGGAAATTTTCCCGCATGTTGAAGCTTTCAGACTGGGGGTTAAAAATGGACCTAGCATATCCTAAAACGAATAGAGAATCTTTAAAATCTAGAGTTATAACAATGCAAAAGTCAAACAACAATCGCCTAGAACCTTCAAAAAGATTTATAAACAAAAGGATCTCCTGTGACAATAATAAACATACTAACTTGCAGTGTCAGGCAAATTTTCTCGCACAGTCTTCAATAGGTACTATTTCAAATCGAGACGAAGATATATATGCGTATTTAAGCGCTAAACCTTCAGAAAAAAACATCAAAAAATTTGATCTGACTGATGGATTTGGTTCCAATGAACAAAATTTTAAACAACTTGAAACAACTCAAAAAACGAGCAAAAACTTTCCAGCTTACAAAAAGAATTGGTTAGATCAGGTCAAAACAGGGGTGAAATCTCTACCAAAAGAAGATGCTGATACTGAAGAATTAAGGAGTTGGAAAAACAGTTTGAGGGAATATAAATCGGCGATGGAAGGTGAGTGCGAATGTAAAAGTTCCTACATCGCCGACCCTTACATTAGTAACTTCAGAACCGATTTCAGCAGCAAATATAATCCTGGAGTACTGGAATCTACTCAAGGTAACTTAAAATTCAATTGATAATAATAAAATATTAATAATCAATTTATTTTATTACTAAAAATGTTTGTTATCTCTTAAAGCAAATTTTATCAAACTAATGCTTTTGTTGGAAACATAATTTACAATTTTCATTCAATTGCTTAAAATTCATCTTTGAAAATCAGCCTATGCTACAGATCTGACGCAAGACTACTTCGTGACGTCGGGCGATTACGAGAAACATGAACTGCCTGAAAATTTACGCAATATCGACGTCAACCACTTGGTGAGCTCTGCTCAGAAATCATTGCTAACGAGCACCAATGCTGCAGACTGTGTGGAGAACTTTGATGAAATCATACAAACGGCAGATATAAATCCAATAAGATCAAAAAAATATATCATGAAATTACTTTCCGACAGCTGCAAGAAAGTAAAAAAGCCAGGGGCAGTGTTACATAATAGAAAACAACCAATTAAGCAAGCGTGGGCAAAAAAACTATTGAACAACGTGGCTCATAATTATCGAGACGAAATGGTTTTAGCAGACGGAATTTTCACAGAAGAAGAAAAACAATTTATTATAGAGCAGTTATCTTTGAAAAACAGGATACAACTGCAACAAAAACAGACAAAAGATAATGAACTTCGTATACAAAACCTAATTATTCGGCAAAGAAACCAGAAAAAGATTCTTGAACATCTTTTAAAGCAGCAAATACTGTTAACAGAGCAACATCAACTGAACGACAAACGTCAAAAAGTATTGCAACAGGAAATAAAGAATCAAAAAACAATGATAGAAAACGTCCGCACAGTTTTGACGGACTTGAAACCTCAACCCACCCCCAGATATTCAGACAAGAACAAATATTACAGGAAACTCTACACGGGAATACTCCAAAACGAGGACAACCAGCCGTACTTGTCATTTGATGTGCCTCACAATTCTAACGACAAACTGACTGATCATCTTAAAAGTGTTAGCAAGATGAAATCACCGGATAGTAAAAAGTTTATCGAGAGGACGAACAATGTCGAAACAAACCTGAGTGACTTTGAAAAGGGTTTCCAATCCTTCGAACCCAAGAAAACTCCAGGAGATGGAGTCTCCTTCAAGATCAAAGGCCTCATTTACGAAGCTCTGGGAATGGATAAGGTACTGGTTGTAAATTACGACAGGTTCATTGACCACGTAATGAACGACGACAGTGCTATTAAAACGGACGAAATGAACAACGCTTTCATGTACTTGAAGGCCGAAGACATTGCGAAAATGTGAAGCTGCACGAAAATATTATCTATAATAATACAAAAATAACTAAAACAAACTTTTTCTGAATCTACCCATGAACTTTTACGGATGTATCTCTGATAATTTGGCTTAAATAAAGCCTAAAAATCCTTCTTGATAGTTTTATTAAGAACAAAAGAACACATACGAAATGTAAAGAAGTGAAGAATGAATAAGTAAATAAAAAAAATAAATAAATAAACAAATAGATAGATATGTTAAATATATTGTATGCTATCAATGATTGACGCTTATGTGTGTGTGAGTGTGTGTGTACGGTGGTGGATTAAGAATTTTTCGATGACATTTTGTGCTAATCCATGTTCATTTCCATTTTGGCAATCTTCCCAATTCCTATGTATCTCGATGACCTCATTTGGCTAATTTCAGTTTACTTAATTTTTTCGACATTCTCTCTTTGTTTTTATGGTCCAGTGGGAAGTCCTCGATCCTTAGATTCGCCGTCCCACTGTGCTGTGTGTGCTTGTGTGTCTCTCTGTGTGTGTGTGTGTGGTGTGTATGTAAACTGACAGACATCATTTCATTTATTATTGACATAACCTTTACAAAATGATCAACTAAAATTCAAACTAATAATAAATAAGTTTTAAAAATGGCGAAATAATACAATATAATTATAATAATAATAAAATAACAAATAACAACACAATAATGATAAAATAATAATAATAATTTTAATAACTCAAATCAGTAATAAAACATATAAACAATAATAATAGAATAATATCATAACAAAAGTTGTAACGAATAATAATAATAATAAATTAAAAACACAATTGCACTTGTAGTATATAGGTGTCTTTGTCATGTTAAGAGATGAATAAAGAAAACACACACAAACTAACAAACACTACACCACACATACACACAAACAAACACACACACACATACACATAATACCGCACACACAAAACACTACACACACACACACACACATCAAATGTATACACTAAGCCATGACATAAATTAACATCCAATAATACTTACTAATCCATTAAATTCCGTATTAAGATTAATGACAAACCTTTTGAAAGATGTTTTGTAGAAGGTTTATAGAGATCAAGAGGCAATATCGTTAAAATATAAATATATAAAATATTTAATAACTATATTAATTATATATTATATATGTGTGAATACATAGGCAGACTAGAGAATAGATAATGATGATGACATTGAAAAAAAAAAGGCAAAATGACGTCATCATAACATTGTCATGAAAATTTACTCATCACAATGACAATGATGAAAGGCCATCTTTTTTTATTATAAACTAGTACCACTCGAAACTAACACACACACACACACGCACACACACACGCACACACACACGACATATATTATGTATTGATGCTTACACACACCACACGCACACACACACACACAAAACAAGGAATTACACATTAGTTATAAGAAGAGTCTGGGTTCTTTTTTGCATCCAAACCAGGTCAAAGCCATGTAGAACCAGCTAGACGCCTTTCAACACAATTACTCCACGCCAAAATATAGTATAAAAAAATATTATTACATAATATATATTAATATAATTAGGATCCACAATTATGGTACGAATACCAACAAACACTGATTGTAATTGTAAAAACACGAACGGACAAAATAAATATGTTTAATTAAGTTACGAATAATAATAATTATAATGAGGATTAATAATTATGCTTAATTTAATTATTAATATAATTTATAATAATTATTAATAATTATTACTGAAAAAAATTTAAAGGCGATTTTAAAGCCTGAGAATCGTTTAAATGTTTTTAATGCATGCACGCAGCGTGAGCTTTGAAGGTAGGACAAGTCTTCCATAACATTACTTATAATAAATTAAATATACTAATAATTTAATAAATAAATAAACAAATAAATAAAAAATTAATTAACTGATAAAATAGAGTCCATTCTTTTATAGAAAAACCCAATGAGTAACTTAAACAGTTATAAAATAATTGCAAATAGCATTGATGTACGTTATGAAAGTAAAAGTTACAGACTGATCCATTTAATTTAACTCTTCTTAAACTTTTCAAAAACTCAGACTCTTATAAACATGGATGGAGATCAAACTACTCGTAGCATCACGTCAATAAATAAATAGACAAACAAACAAATGAATGAATGAATGAATAAATTAATTAATCAATTAAATATTAAACGGATTAATTAATTAAATAACTATTACATAAACGAATGAATAAAGGAACAAAATATGAATTTAAATATGTATATATGTACCAAACTATACAAACTCTCTCTTTCTCTCTCTCTACACACATACACGCACATATATATAACTACCTTAACACAACTTTTAATTCAATTATGTATTTATTGGGCCAGTTAACTCCAATGAAAGATTAATTATAATTAACCAAAGAAATAAATAACTAATTAATTAGTTAATCAAACGTTAAAACCATCTCACGAAATCAATTAAATATTAATTAGATTATTATATATTTTAAAAAAAGAAATAAAACTTTGAGGAAAAGTGCAATTGAATAAATAAATATATATATATATATAAACATATATATATATATAAACGAATATATATATATAGACTGGGTAACCTAAATTGGTGATGGGGCGGGGGGGGGGAATTTGAAAAATTCTTCACCAACGTGAAGAATTTTGTTTTAAAGAATTGAGAAAAAATATAACTCTTTGAAGAAAATCCAAAACTCGATAAATAAATTAATCAATAAATAGGTTAATTAAATAATTAATTAATTAACAAATAAATATAAACTAATTAATTTCGTTTTTCTCCACCACCAAAAGTATAAAAAAGAATTTTAAAGATGCTGCTACGTCCATCATGCATATATGTATACTTTCGGTGTATATGGGATGGTGATGATTATGGTGATCGATTTACACATTCATACACACACACGCGCACGCACACACACACATAACTGTTTAAGTTTTGACTATTTAAATGTGTATTTTACTTGTTTTTAGAGAATAATAATTTAATAACATGAGGTATATAGGTTGGTCATGGAATGAGTTAGTTGAGCATTTATCAGATTGGTGAGCATTAGCGAGCATATCTTTATTTCACACTCTCACACACACACTTACGCACACACACACACACGAACAAATACAATAAATAAATGAATGGCGTATATGCGGTACAACTCATTGTACATGAGCGCAAAATAAATAAATAATATTCACATACACGATTCCGTAAATACATACACGTTTACACTGTTTTCAATACACACATAAAAACAGGAACATATACACGCACACACACTCAACAAACAACAAATACACACACGTCCACACACAAACAACACGCACACACTCCACACACTCTAACCCTAACCCTAACCCACACAGACACCACACGCACGCACAAACACAAAAAACGAACTCACACACACACACACACATTCATTTTCAACTGAGATCAAGTTTGCGCCCTACCAATCAGAATGAACATACAAAGTATAACTCAGAGGCCAGAATATAGAAAAATAAAAACATTAATTAATTAAAAATTAATTAATTTAAATCAATTAAGACGCAATACACACGCAAATATATGTGGTATACATATGTATGTATAACATATTAATACAATAAATTAAATATAAAAACTTTTTTTGGAAAAAAATAGTAATAGATGTTACAAAAGTTTTTTCTCTTTCTGTCTCCCTCTCTCTCTCTCTTTCTATATATATATATATATAAAATATATATATATATATATATATGAAATATATATATATATATATACTTACAATATTCTATAAATTCTACCGAATGTTTGGCGTTAATATGTTTGTAGTTCGTTTTTTCGATTTTTCTCACTAAAGTTTTTTGGTGAACGTTTAGTTTATTAAAATTCAAAATAAACTTATTTTTCGAATTCATGCAGCAAATAAGGCCATATTTCGATTCCGAATGAATCATCTTCAGCGCTCCTTGCTATATATATATAGGGAAATATTGACTTTGTCAAGATGAACTTTGACGTTTTAAAAATTAACTTTGGTGTTGTAAAATTGAACTTTGATGCGAATTAGGTGTCAGGTTTCTTAATTGGCTGGCCATCTTCTTTGGTCTCCTTTTCTTCATCGATAGCATCATATTCTTCTTTGTCACTATTTACGATGCTAGTTTTTATTACTTCTTTGTTTTCGTTGTTGGTCAAGCAAGGAGCACTGAAGATGATTCATTCGGAATCGAAATATGGCCTTATTTGCAGCATGAATTCGAAAAATAAGTTTATTTTGAATTTTAATAAACTAAACGTTCACCAAAAAACTTTAGTGAGAAAAATCGAAAAAACGAACTACAAACATATTAACGCCAAACATTCGGTAGAATTTATAGAATATTGTAAAAATTATGGTTTATTATGTCTGTGTGTGTCTGTTAAACAATATAAAGCATAATATCAAAATATAAATCATTTATTTATTGATGTTTGCTTACAGAGGACGATGTGATAGAACAAATAGAATTGAGCGGCTGATAATTTGAGTAAAAAGATTTTAAATAAATAAATAAATAGATAAATAAATAAAAACTGTAGATAATATCTGAAAAAAATATATAGTTAGCATGCGTTAGGTGGAGAAAAAAAAGAACAAATTTAACAATGGATCTTTGATCGAGTTGGCCATCCCTTTGTGAAAAAGTGGAATGAGACCCCAACTAGAAAATTTGTTGGGTCATCTAATTACACCAGTCATATCAACTAATTATCATTCATACATCCATTCGTTCATCCATCCATTCATGCATTCATTCATCATTCATTCATGCATTTTTCTTCTAATTAATAGATGCCTGATCAATTCACCTAATCAAGCCACGTACTCATGTGAACCAATCAACTAGCCAACTACACCATTGACCAATCAACTAACTTTGATTATTAGAAAAATTAACCTGTCAATCATCCAATCAATCAAACAAACAATCAACCAATTAATTAATCAACCAGCTAATCAATCAATAAATCAACCAGTTAATCAATCATGAAAACAAAAGACAAACCAATTAACAAACCAGCTAATCAATCAATAAAACAAACAAAACACAAACTAATAAACAAACAAACCAATCAACCAACGAACCATCAATCAACTAGCCAGTCAACCAATCAATCAATTACTCCCACTAGCACAAGTGGACTTCTCACCACCCACTACGGACAACTTCCCATTCATTGCACACACACCGCCACCAATAACAGTTCCCTCGCCAGCCACACTGCTGCTACTACCGCCACTACTACTTCCGCTATTGTTATTGTTATTATTATTGCTGTTATTATTATTACTGTTGCTGCTATTGTTAAGCACGGTTGATGACGACTTCATTCTTTCCTGCTCTTCCAGATGCCTCTGGAGGTTCCACTTTGGAAGAATTCTCCGGCGAGCGTTAGTGAACCAGTAGTTGATCTGGTTGATGGTCAGTTTCGTCTGGTTGATGAGGGACTCCTTCTCGTCGTCGTTTGGGTAGGGGTTGTCCTCATGCTTTCGAAGCCAGTCGATCATCGCGTTTACTGCCTGTGTGTGTGTGTACGTGTGTTGTTGGTTAGCCAGTGTGTGTGTGTGTGTGTGTGTGCGTGTGGTGTGTGTGTGTTGTAGGACATCAGTGTGTGTGTGAGTGTGTGTGTGTGTGTTGTTGGCCAGTGAGTGTGTGTGTGTGTTGTTGGCCAGTGAGTGTGAGTGTGCGTGCGTGTTGGTCAGTGAGTGTGCGTGCGTGTGTTGTTGGTAAAGTTAACAGGCCAATAAATTAATTACAGGAGATAAAGATACAAATATAATCAATCAACCAAACAATCAATCAACCAAACAATCAGTCAATCAAACAATCAATCAATCAATCAATCAAACAATCAATCAATTTAATAAATAAAATAAATGGAAATGGCACAGACCTCCTTAGGTAGGACCTTATTCTTGCCCGTCTTCTCGATCCCGATCTCAATCGGACCCACACTGCCACCACCCCCGCCATTATTATTATTATTTTTATTATTATTCATCATCATCATCATGGCGGCAGGATGGTGACCGCCCCTCATCATCAACTTCCTGGGGGACGAGGGCAAACTCTGTATGCCTCCTCTCCTCTCATTCTCCATCATAAACATCAAGTGCGGGTTGTGGTGGTGGTGATATTGGTGGTTGAGGAAAGATGACGACGACGACAACGACGGTGATGGCGCTAGGTTGGGTAGATGCTGCTGCTGCTGTTGATGGTGGATGTGGTGTGGGAGGGGGTACGGCGAGGGAGACGACGACGACAAAGGTGGGAGCATGGATGGTGCTCCGACTGAGTTACATTCAATGTTGTAGGGGAGCGATGAGGTCGACGAGTGCAAAGACGACGATGAAGACAAATGATGAGGAGCATGAAAATGATGGGGAGGGAATGGGGGCATCCCTTGTGAGATTCCCGGGGAAGGAGACATCCCTTGCGGCATGACCGGTGAGTTGAATCGATCCGAGCTCATTAGGGGTGTGGATTGCGGTAGTGTCACACTTTGCGATCGAATGAGGTTCTCTCTCTTTAGATCGCTATCATACATTTGGAAGGAGTTGAGAGACGGTGAGTGAAATAAATGAGGGTGAGATATCTGATGGTAATTGAAGTGACTGTTATTAGGACGTAGATGATGGTGGTTGTTGTTGAACGGAGTGTTGTCCAAATTAAACGGTGTCATGGCCGGTTGGGGAGTTGAGGATGTCTTAAGTTGCGGTGTTCGACTGCCCGAGCATGACATGTGTGCCGATGACGAATTGGAGGTCAGATTATCCTGTGTTGGTTGTAGAGAAGAATTCATTATATAAAATACACACACGCACGCACACACACACACAACAGCTACACCAGACACTCACGTGTGATGCAAAATAGTCGCAGAGATCCTCAACGTTCTTGCTGTTGACTTGGACCTTGTTTGGAAACAGTCGATGACCTTCCTCCAACTTCTTGGCCATGATTTTTGCTGATGGAGTAGGGTGAAGATGAAAGATTAACCTTTAATAACGTCGGTATGATAGGTTTTATTTTATTTATTTTCTAAAAAAAAACTTTCATTTTGGGTCCAAAAAAGAAGCTAGAGAAGCTTTCTAAATGGGATTCTTGCAAAAATAATCAAATCAATGGTGAACACTATATTATATCCAACAACAACAACAACAACACAATAATGAACAACTAACAGCCCTGATCAAAAATATGTAAATACCTTCTAAAAAAAGAATTAAATCAAATAAACTTCACTCACAAAACTCATCGATATGAATAAACTTTTAAAAAAACAGAAACTGCACTCACATATGAGGGTGGAGTGGGCAAACTTGAGGGCGTCCATGATCATGGGGTGAACGTAGGGGTCGACCTGTTCAAAGTTCATCTGCGGATTCCTCACCATGTAGTTGTGGATCAGTCTATCAAAGTTCTCTGGCAGGCTTAAGATCAGTGAGCAGGGGAAATTTGGAGAAAGAAAGTTCATGTCGGCAATGATGATGTCTCTCAGGAGTTTGTAGAGGGGGTGCTTCGTGAAGGCGGGGTTGGTGGTGTGGATGAGGTCCTGGAGAGGTGGAAAGGTGCGATTTGGAGGCGGTGGTTTATTTTGGAGTAGCATTAACGAGTTCTTCTCTGGATCAGGACTGCTGATGTTTTGGTTGAGGTTGGTGTTGTTGTTATCATTGCTGCTGCTGCTACTGTCTGAGGTAGAGTTCATCACAGTAAAATCATAATTACTGTTAGATTTTATCAACTGTGCATTACTATTGCAATTAAGGTAAGTAGGCAGAGAGTAATCGTCGGTGTTGCAGTTAGTCTCAGAATTGTGAGGTGGGATGTGGTGCACAAATTTTGACGTGGGCATCAATGATGAATGTTGTTGTTGTTGTTGCTGTGAAGGTGCATAAATATCAGCGCCCTGGATGTAGGCATACGACTCCCTAACTTCCTCCAACAACTCACTAGCAGTGGTAATAATTCTCTGCTTTTTAGCAACATGTAGTTGCTGACTAGGACTGGAGTTTGTAGACGAGTCGTTGCTTTTTTCCCCGGCCTTCATCTTCACTGACTCTCGCTGTTTTTCATTCACCTCCTGTTTTATTTCTTCAACTTTGGGTTCTTCACAGCTCGAAGATATTGTGGGACTGGCCACACTCAGTTTTACTTCTCTGGAGGGGCCTGGTTCCACTATGTAGGGGGAGGGAGGGACTGGCTCGAGTTTTGGGCTCACAAGTGACTGCAGCATATTGTTATTGGACATTGGGGTAATTGAGTTGTTGAGTGGTTGTTGTATTTGTGGATGGTTGAAAAGTTGTTGCTGCTGCTGGAAATGGAGCTGCTGTTGGTGGTGGTGGTAGAACAAGTTGTGGTTGTCCCTCTGCCGGGTTTCTATTTGAGAAGAGTATCTTTCAGCCATTTCATCAATCTCTCCAAAAGGAATTACCTGATCGGTTTCGTCTAAATCAAGTTGGCCTCTGAATGAGTTTGTCTGTTGACTAGATTGCGCGAAATGGTATTGCCTTTCCATGTCGAATAGATCAAGCTCTTTAGCGGAAAAATCCGTGAAGATCTCATCCAGGAGTGTATTCCTGATTCTATCCATGGATGAATTCAAAACTTTTTTATAAAGTCTGTGAAATGAAATTTTAAAATAAAAATAACAATCGCAGGTTTGTTTGTGTTGTTTTTTATTTTTAATATTTTGATTTATTTTTATATTTTTTTTTTTTATGAATCTTTTGAAAATAAAATGTTTTCGTGAAATTTAAAAAAATATAATAAAAATTTTAATCTAACAATTATAAATTAGTGCAAAATTATCATCTAATTTTAAATTATTTTATTTTTTAAACAATCTAAAACATTTATTATTTATTAAAATTATTTAATTGGGAAAATAGGATTTAAACAACCGGCGACATTTAATAAAGGGCGGAATTCAAATTTCGCAGCATTTTAAAATTTTCTTTGTTTGGACTCTACTATAAATCATGAGGCGCTTCACTTAATTTTGTTATAAAATCAATTCAACCATAGATATAAAATATATATCCATGATTTCAACTCTTAGAAATTTTGCCATTTAAATTTATATTAAAATTATTTTAAAGTATTAGTAATTTAAATATCTATTTATTTTTTAAGGATAATTTTATTATTATCAGAAGTTTCGTTATGGAAATAAAATAATAATTAAAAAGACGATAAACGTCATTTTTCAAAAATTCTATTCATCGGTTGGAATCTTGGAGTTATTTTGATTTATTTTTAATAAAATTAACAATAATAATTTTATAATAATATCAATAATTTTAATAGCAATAACGATTTGGTTCATATAATTTTGAAAATATATTAACTTATTTAACATTCATCATACATATTTTAATTAAAAAGTTTATAATCTTCTTCTTTTTCGTGCCTTATCCTTTCAGGACATTGGCGACCATCGACCTCCATAAAACTCGATCTTTAACACTTTGTAGCAGTTGAAATGTGGTGATATTCAACAAGTGACACAAGGACTTCACGAATGTTGTTCGTTGTTGACCGCGACCTCTTTTCCCTGCAATCATTCCAGTAGTTGTTAGATTTTCCATTCTTTCCTTTCGCATGATTTGACCGAAAAACTTTAACTGCCCCCGTCGGATTATCTGTAGTAATTTCCTCTTTTCATATCCGGACTGTTTTAATATATCCTCATTCGAAGTTTTTTCATACTTCTTCTCAAAACCACATCTCAGCAGCAACAAATATAAGGCTAAAATAAAAGGTTATTACAGTATACATGCATATATGGAATAAATCACAATATCAACATCATACATGAGCAGAGCATTCACACGCAAATTAGAAGAGGATCAAATTTAATATGACATTTCTTACTAATAAAATATATTTCTTAAATTTTAAAAGTTGATTAATGCGTTCCTTAAGCTGCTGAAACAGAACAATGGTCAGTAAAATGACAGTGTGGATGGTTCTTGCTATTTCAAGCCTTGGTTGGTATTGATAATTTTTTCATATTTTCAGTCTTTCGTTCGTTCTTTCGTTCAGTCCCTATCTTTCATTCATTCATTCATTCATTCATTCATTCATTCATTCATTCATTCATTCATTCATTCATTCATTCATTCATTCATTCATTCATTCATTCATTTATATTGTCTTGTTATTAAATGTTTTAAAGTAAATTAACCAAATATTGATAAAAAATTAATAACTTCAACCATTCAGCCATGAGCGTAGCTAGGTCGAGAGGGGTCAATTTTATTATTTATCAAAGTTTGAACATTACGAAAAAAAAAATGTTTTTTGTTTTGTGTTTGAACCCTTCCCCACGGAAGAAAACCCTAGCTACGACCATGCACTCAGCTAAACTTCATTTTAAATGAAACAATAATTGATGTCTAGCTCTGGTCATAACGGATAAGAAAGAACGTTAGCATTTCATTCGTTCGTTCGTTCGTTCGTTATTCAGGTCTTATGATTCATTCGTATTTTTTATTTACTTGTTCGTTCGTTCACAAATGTATTCATTTGTTCACAATTTCAGTCAAACAACTTTTCAAACACTTTTCAATAGGAGCAAAATAAAATTTTGTTTGTGAATTCAAATTAAACTTCAATTCAATTAGCTCCTGTTGTTTCCGATGGCAAAGAGAGTTAGTCTTTTCAATCAATCAATCAATTAATCAATCAATCAATCATGCGATCGATCGATCTATCGTTCGTTCATTCATTCAATCAATCAATCAATCATTCATTCAATCGATCACTTCCAATCTCAGTTTTTTTAATGATGAACATTTCAATTCAATCATATCTTCACTCTTACAACTTTTCACTATAGTAATTTTTCATTACAAAAAACAACGTAACATCAATCATTCAAGCATTCATTATTTCAATCAAAATTTCAAGCGAAGAACTTTTCAATCATTCAATAATCGCAATATTTTAAACTTTATTGAAATGAATTATTTTTTGTAGCTTCTGTCCCAGCTGGTAAGGAAGAAAGTTAGATAGATTACGATTGAATTGGAATTTCAATCATTCGTTCGTTCATTCGTTCGTTCGTTCATTCATTCGTTCGTTCGTTCGTTCATTCATTAATTCATACAATCATTCATTCATTTCATTCATCATTCATTCATGAATCCTCCGTAGAAATTCACATGAAGGTGATGTGCAAAGAGAAATGCACGCTGTTCACAGACGGACGCCTGGTCCAGGAGACGAAGCGGATCAGCGTCAAAGATTGGAAGAGGGGGATCTTCATATCTCTGGACAGACCCACTGTTAGTGGATGGATGGATGGATAGATGGATGGATGGATAGATGGATGGATGGATGGATGGATGGATGAACGGACGGATGGATGGATGGATGGACGGATGGATAGATGGATGGATGGATGGATATATATGCAAATGAATGAATGATTTAATTAATTAATGATTGATTGAATAGATAGATTAATCATTGGATGCTATGAATGATTGAATAAATAAATAAATGAATGAATGAATGAATGAATGAATGAATGAATGAATGAATGAATGAATGAATGAAGGAATGAATGAATAAATAGATAGATGAACGAACGAACGAATGAATGAATGACAGTCTAAATATTAGCAGCCAATCAATTCACTTTTATGATCACTCAATAACCGAATTTATCAAGCAATCACTCACTCTCACTCACTCACTCACTCACTCACTCACTCACTCACTCACTCACTCACTCACTCACTCACTCACTCACTCACTCATTCACTCACTCACTCGATCACTCACTCGATCACTCACTCACTCACACACCCACTCACTCACTCACTCACTCACTCATTCACTCACTCACTCACTCACTCACTCACTCACTCACTCACTCACACACCCACTCAACCAATCAACCAACCAATTAATCAACCAACCATTCAATCAACCCGCCAGCCAACCAATCAATCTACCAACCAATCAATCAATCATTACATTTGCCAAAGGTTCTAGCAGTTCTCGTGAAGAACTTTCGGAATTCTTTCGGAGGGTTATCAATTTTGTCATCAGACAGTAGATTTTCGACAATTTCAAAAAGTTGGAAATGTTCCGCGGTGCCAGGCAACTTGAAATCATTCTTCGATGCGGTCAGAATTTTTAAAATTTCTTGGAAAAATTAATTCAAAAAATATTTTATACTATTATGTACTGTTATGTATTTTATTAAATTGCTAAACTTTAAAGATTTCAACTAAAACAGAATTAATCGCATTTTCGAATTCGTGTTTAACTTCAGAATTTCGACGACAAAGGCTGGCCACAGGCGATGACAGTGACCAACCTTTCAACCTGCCTCTCACAACAGAACCAGCTCATCGGCAGTCCCTCTAGCGTTCTCTGCGGACCATCCTACTTTCCATCGACCGAGAGTTCTCCCTGGATCTGGTCCAACGTCTCCCTAACCCTACCCATCCAATCCAATCAAACAAACGGCAAATCAAAACGCTCGTTGAAGAGCTTAGTAAGCGGTGGTAATGTGGCTGGAATACCAGATCCAAAAATGATAAGGGCCCTCCTGAAATATGCTGGTTTCAATGCGATGAGGACGGTGTGTAGGATCAAAGTGGCCCATGTCGAGGCGGCCTATTACGATTACAACTACCCCCAACCTGCCCCCAAGCAGCAATCCTTCACGACTGTGGGGACGTTCGGTAGAGTGATGTCGGCCATCTCCGTTGGTCTGAAGGCCACACTCGGCATTTTTAGCATTTTCGGGTTCGGTATGGTGTTTTTCATGATCTTCAAACCGAAGACTTTTGCCAATTTCGTCGAAAAGCACCGATCGTTTTCATTTCTGAGAAGGTTTGTGAGAGTGAAAGCTGGTGACGGCGGTAATGCTATAAAGGGAGAGGAAAGGAAAGGAAAAAATGAGAGTGCGAGTGAGGGTAAAAGAGATAATGAGTTAGGTGAGGGGGAAACCGTTAGAGTTGTTTGATCAGTATTTGTTAAAGGGTTGATGCAATTGGTTGCTCAAAAGTTTAGTCAATATTTGAAAAGTTGATTGAGCAATTGATTGAATAATTGGTTAAATGGTCAAATGAGTGATTGATTGAAAGACAGAATAGTACGTTGAATGAATTGTTGGAGTGTTTGATGGCTTTGAATGAATGGCACACTTTGAATAAATATTTGATACAAATGAGTTTTTTCAAATTTTAATAAAAGGCAAAAACGACATTCCTGTTGAATATCTTTCGATTTTTGAAAAATAAAAAAACTATTCAGTCAGTCAGTCGGTCAGTCAATCAATCAATTAGTTTATAAAGCGCTGTTTCGGCGATGCTCAGCAGCTGGGTCTTGAGATCCGCTCTGAACTTCGCAAGTGATGGAGAAGTAATCAGAGAAGGAGGTAGAGAGTTCCAGAGAAAAGGGCCAGAAGAAGCAAATGCGGATTTCCTCAATGGCAATAAATTTGGTTCAATTTCGCTCAAAACCTCTGGTTGTAATAGCAATATTTTTTAAAAACTCAGGTCACTAACTTTTTGTATCCACCCCGGGCTGAGTGATGGCTTTGTGGTTAAGGTCGCCTGGTGCCGTTTTGCAGTAAACGAGTTCGAATATGACAAAAAGATCCCCGCCTATCACATGCTTCGTGTGTGAAGCGTCGTTTAGCACGTATTCATTTACGATGTTTGTGGCGTGTTGTTGAATCCTCTGAACTTTGGAAGAGTGTATATGACCTTTAACCTTTTAACTTTTTTAACCACCCATATAATTAGAATAAATATAACGGCTTTCGCTCATTTTTGACGGTCCAGCAAGGAGCTTACTTCCGGAGGGGAATTGGAAGGTGATTTTTTATCGCCCAAGTCTAAAATTACGATCGTTTATTTACTAATTTCGAAATATTGCTTTTATTTAAAATGTTTTGAAAGGTGATACTAGATGCTGTTTTAGGATAGATATTGCTGTATGATGGTTTTTGCATTTTAAATTAAAAAAAATTTTTATGAACCACTCTTCTAACACTTGACTCGTTAACGATTAACTGTAACCGGTAAGGGTAACGTAACAACATTAACGACGACTAATTAGTAATTAAATTACTAAACTCTAATAATTAAGCTAAAACTAAACTACTAATTCTAATTACTAATTAAAATAAATAACAGATAACACTAACGAACATTAACAGATTAGACTACTAGAGACTACCAACCACTACACTACTACATACTACAACTACTACACTAACAGCACTTGTTCCTAAAATCCTATTGCTTGATTGGTTGTAAATTTTTACTTACAATGCTTAGGCCTGGGAATAAAGAATATATTTTTTAAAATAACTAATATTCAATGATTTTTGCTAGTTTTTCAATTATGTGGATAATTTCATATAATTAGAATAATTTGTCGTGCTTGGATTATTGGCTTACAAAATTGCATGGATTTTAACGAGCAAGCTATATGAAATATTTAACTGACTTAATATGCTTAAAACATTGTAGTAATTCTCTTTAATTTTATTAAATAAAATTATGATTTTATTAAATAAAATTATGTATTATTAAATTATTGTTGTTAATTTGAATATAAAAATTATACTTTTGGTCCTGTGAAATCCTTTTTTACACTATTCGATCATGTTAAAAATTTGTTTGCTCATGAAATAAACGACCTAAATAGATCAAAATTGTTATTTGAACAACTATCTTCATTATATTCAATGAATATTTTACATTCTGCTGGTGCTCATAGAAATTATGGTTGCTGAAATCATACGTTGGCTTACTGCAGTGGCTTACTGGGTCTCATACAACAGTGTCATGGCGGTTTTCTTTACATATAATGCTTTAAATAAGTCAATATATTCATTTCACAATTATTTTTGTTAATATAAATTAAGAAATTGCTTTTGTCTGGTAAAGCCGTATGTTGGCTTAATCGGATTTTTTTTCATATATAAAATACTATGAGATCAATCAATCAACCAATCAACCAACCAACCAACCATTCAATCAACTAATCAACCAATCAATCAACCATATTTGAAAAATATTTGCAAGGCTTGTTCAAACTCGAACAAACACTTAACTGTACAGATCTACAAACAATTTCGAGATTTTAGTAAAGAAAGAAAAACACAATAGTTGCTTTTATTAAATCAAGAAATATCCAAAAATTATATAACCAAATTAAAAAACTAGAAACCAGTCAACATTTAATAAATAATTAAATAAATAAATAGACATTATTAAAAAGATTGTTCAAAAAGGTAAAATTTAAGGCGACGACGAGAATAAAATGTAGTTTGTTTTGTTGGTGTGGGGCTGTGAAGCGAAAACAAACACATTACAAAAAACTGTAAAAAGTCGCAAGAATAGTAGTCAGTCACCTACCTACAATTAAATTACTCTCAGGGCCCTAGCTTACTTATAATCATTAACTCAACTCACCTACCTACAAATATTTTTTTCTA